CTTGACACCATCAACTTATTGTTAGGTAATTGTTTTTTTTTTGTTTTTAAGTGTGGGAGAGCCATGCTTCGGTACGGATGGGTCAGCTCGACCGGAGTGATACCACGGCCTCGCAGAAGACCGACGTGAAACAACGCTTGCGTTGTGTATCGTCGTGTGAGTTTTTTTTATAGCATAAGCCGGTAAACGAGCAGACGGATCACCTGATGGTAAGCAAAGCAATCGGCGTCGCCCATGGACACCTGAAACACTAAGGCGTTACAAGTGCGTTACCGGCCTTTTGGGAATTGGGAATTTGAGGATTGTGGAGGATTCGGGGATTCGGGGATTCGGGAGACTAGGAGTAATTGGGCCTCCGAGAACCTCATTCACACGACGAAACACAACGCAAGCATTGCTCAGTAAACAAGTAAACATGTTTTGTAATGATGACATTCCTAGCAGGTCCAGCAGTTGCTCAGTTACTGGTATCTTGTTTCGTTCCTACTTGGGCAACGCAGACATTGGGTCAAATTGTCCCCTTATGTTATTTTACTTTTATACAAGACTGTAAATAGCACAGTATAGGTAAATACTCCAGTAGATATTTGTCTATCAGCAAATCCGCTAAGTGCTTAAAAACTTATTTTCACAATACAAAAGGAAAGCTTGAGTATGAATCTTTTCTATTGTTTTATATTTCGTAATAGAGATTGGTTATGATTAAATAGGCATATTTCGTGATTAAAATCACATTCTAGGTTATGCCTATTTGAATTTTAACCTTAACTTATGTAGTGTTGATGGAATTATAACAGACACCGTCAAAGGTTACATCCGTTTGAAGTAGGTACTAATTTGAGAGCACATCACAGCATTGTCATAGACTGAAATTGTCTAGTATAGAGTATGTATGTATGTTGGCAAGTATGTATGTATTGTCTACTAGAGTATGTTTAATACCTATCAACGTATATCCTACGTATTTGTCTAGTTTGTTAGTGTCATTCTAGACACTTCCACAGACTAATCAATCGATCTATCAACTCCACACAACCAATTTTGTCGACATCACTGTTGGGCAACTTCGACCACTCAGCCAGAACATTGCATGCAAACTTATGTGCCACATAAATACGATAATATCGTCCTTATGCACTTTACATAAAGTGCATTGCGCATGCATTTATAAATTGGTAAGTATTTTTACGTAGGAAGCCCGTATTAGCGGTGTCCGTCATTTGCACATGTGTAGTAAGTACTAGGAAGTTTCTAGTAGCCTGTTGTTGATTTGTTTCATTAATTTATAGCTTTATTGACGTGTACTTAAATGCCCCACGATTGTCAGTGTCAGGGACACGTTCATACATCATATTTTAAATAAGAACAACAGTTTGTAAACTGCTTGCATTTGTCTACAAACATTGGGTAACTATCTAACCAAGTCTGAACTTCCATTACACTGCCCGCACGAAATTAAGATATAGAACTACGTGTCTATAAACCTCGTCACAGAAAGTTCCTCATGAGCTGCGCGCACGCCTCTTTCACTCGCGCACGCGCAAGTTGCGCACGCGAGCAATGCACACGCAACACCCGCCAATAGTGCACGCGCTCCTTAATAGTGACCTTGAACCGTGCGCAAGAGCAAGTGGAGCGTGAACACATTCATATGACCTGGTAACCGAGTCTTAGTTAATAACGACAGTATTCACTGATTTGTTATATTGTAGAGATTCCATAGGCAGAGCTTGTTTTTGTTTTTTATCATTATATCATTGTGGTCATCGGCCAGAAGACATCCACTGTTCATCAAAGATGATTCACGTAAGGAAAGGTTTTCCATATATTTGGTAGATGATTTGCAGAGGGTAATAAGGTCACCTAAATCACTCTAATATTACATGGGACTCAACATAAACAGTGTAAAATGGGTGTTACATTGTACTGTGGCATTAAATGTCGTAATTTGTACCTCTGCCTACCCTTTCGGGGCTAAAAGGCGGGATGTTCTGTTAAATTACGTGTGTGATAGCCATTCTTCGGCACAAAAGACGCTCGACCGGAGTGATACCACAGCCTAACAGAAAACTGTTTTTTTTTATGGAATAGGAGACAAACCAGCAGGTGAATCACCTGATGGTAAGCGATCAGCGCCGCCCATGGAAACCCGCAACACCAGAGGAGTCACAGGTCGGCCTTTTAAAAAAGGAATACGCTCTTTTTTGAAGGTTTGAAGGTCGTATCGGTTCGGAAATACCGCCGACGACAAATCATTCCACAGTTGTAATAGGGGAATAGACTGAATGATGAGATTGCTAGGTGTGATGTATACGATATAGTCCTCATACCTTCTGTCAAGAGATAGCCTGACATGTATCAAACGTGTGTCCATCGTCCGGACTAGGTAACAGAATGGATCTGGCATCATACCTAGACACTCTTGAAACACTATCATTCTTGTTGCAAATATTTCAATTTTATTTACGACTATTTCTTAAACAGTTATCGTTCGAGTATTTAGCAAACATCGAACCATTCGGATAAGGTCAATAGTTGCCAAATATAAATACGTTAGCTTCTTATTTCTTAACTTATACCTAAGCAACATTTTTTTTATCACCTAATTGAATAGTTGGACAAATAAGTCGCCATTATCATCAACTGGAAAAATACTTCTGTACAAAGGCACCCATCTTGAAAGGAGATTTGACATCATCATCTGCCTAGAAACGTCGCGTACTTATGACGTCACAGAGGATTCTGCTGCTGGGACCTCTATGAATGGTATCAGTCTTTTCGATTGGATACTGGTATATCAATGAGTATAGAAGTATGGTGGGTCTCCTCCTGATTATATAAAATGTATCCTCATTGACAATAAGTTACAAGGACTTTTTTTTAAGGGGGAACATCATCGAATGACTCACGCCTCACTCAGGCGGGAGGGAGTGTCAGACTCTTACTGACTAAAAACCGCCCCGTTCCTTCTCCTGCGCTTCGAACCGGAGCCCCGGTTACCCGTTAGGTTCTCCGCGACAGTTACAAGGACTTACCATCACAATCAGTAGTTTGCCTAATTGTTCTTACTCGGTTGCTCACGGTGCCGCAATGGCGCTAAGCTGCTTAATAATTACAAGATTGAACAACGAAATACTTGGCAGTTATTAATTGGGTATTATTTATGACAACTACTTTGTCATGTTTTTGTGAAAAATTAATAGTCATTCAACATTTTCGTTGGTCAGTCATAGTTATTACAGTAACTAACATTAATTTCTTAAAATGAACAATATTTCTTGTTTTCTTTTTAATGGCATTCTAGGGTTATCCCTAGAATGCTTTCCAGCATTTCACCTTAGAACTTTTGGTGTAATTTACATTTTTGGAATGTGACTACTTTTTCCCGATATGATCTCCGACTACCGTAAGCCGTCCGACCAGAACCAGACCCGAGTGTACGGCTCGTCCCGTTCCGCGCGCGCCTCAAGGAGCCATTAGATCAACACAGATGGGGCGTTATAGAGCTCATGCGCAATACGGAGCCGCGGAGGATTAACGAGTTGCGGAAGTAGGTACGGGGTGGTTTTTAGTAAGTTAGAATTTGACATTCCCTCTCGCCTCATCCAGGTGGGAGAAGTAATTCGATGGTTTTCCCCCCTTAAAAAAAGATGATCACTCTTTTGCGTCATGAATTGCTTAAACAGCCTATTTAGTAATTAAACCATGGGTAATAAAAACAAAGACAATAACAACGATTACTTTTACAACAATAGAATGGGACGAAACAAAAAAAAACAGTTCCAATTTTCAGTCAAGCAAGCTACGCTTTTGTTAAAGATAATTTCATCTGTATCACAGTGTAATAAGGATGAATTTTATCTAATTTCGTTATATGGTTTCTAATGTCTTTATCTTTACAAAATGAAAAGGCAACTGCTGGCACAAGGTCTTGGATTGAATCCCAAATATAGTAAAGAATTTTCGAATGCATTATTTGAAATGTTAATTTATTTCGATCATTAAGCAAGAAATATGGGGGATATCTAGAATGATTTCCGAGAGTTTTTAAAGTTGGCATTATTGTAGATTTTGTTATGCTCGTCCTGATTTTCGTATCGCAGCCCCGTGCGTGTGCCGCTCACGCCGCCATCTTGGAAAAATGGCGGCCAAAAAGAGTCTTTTTAAAGATAGAATGAATTTAAACTATAGTCAAAGTAGTCAACATGTATGAACTTGACATAAGATTTTGACATAATTTTACATTGTTTGTACGTTGATATTTAAATTCACTCACGTAACTGCCGTTCAAAAACCAATAATTATCTAAGGCGTAAGTTAATCCTACTTAAGTTACTTTTTCTTTCTTCTACGTAGATCGACGCATTATAATTATTCGAACATATACGGGTTCCGTAAATGCACATTTTTGTGGCTAAAATGTTGATGACGTAACATTAATGGCAAGTTTGTCAACAATGGCACATCAACCGCCAGGCTGTCGTGAGAGGTTCGAATCATAAACGTTGATATTTTGAGGTTATGTAATGATGATGATGATTCTGCTTGCCTCTTTATAGTAATTGCTATTTTCTATTGTATAGAATACACATTAAGGTAAATTAAATCGTTATCGTTATTTGTAGTGGATATTATAAAGCTATTAGTTCAGTGAAGGACATGGTAGATATAGTTAGGTATGTATGTGAATTATTGTATGGTTTTATTTTCAAGTTCAGACTTTGTTGTTTTTACTGTGAGTGCAGCACTAGTCTCCTTTACTTCTGTCGATTGTGAATAATTATGTGACATTATGTGTTTTCTAAAACAGTTCCTTCCGTAAATATAAGTACATAAAAATATGACGAACTACCGACCATACACAACTCTAATATGTCTTTTGAAACTGAAGCCTGTTTCAGTTTGAACCACGTGCTCATTTACATAGTAACTGTGCCATTGAAAAACACCTCCAAAGTCTTTAAACACAGAGTTTCTTTCGCTAAACAATAATTCCTTACCTGGTAAATAGTCCAGTATTGGTCAGTCCATACTTGGTCTCTCCAGCCTTGATGTACAGCTTGCAGGCGTCGTGCTGGCGGCAGCAGGTGTCGGTGAAGAAGAACAGCCCCAGGTCACTGGAGCGAGCCGTGGCTGAGCGACCATCTCCACACCACACCGTTCCTGTGGCAAAAGACTGGTTATGAAAAGTCTTGGAAATAATGTAAAGTAAAAATTACCTGAAAGATCATCCAGTGAACCCATGCTAAGCCACTAATGAATTGTAGGTTTCCCCACAGAACATATTTCCCTAACATAAGACCATAATAATCATATTAGGCATCATTTTATCAGGTGAGTTGAAGATCCTAGTTTAAATAATTCAGATTGACCAACGGGTCGACATCATTGTCCGCTTAAAAAATTGACGTGGTAAAGTGCCGCCTTGTAGCCTATTTACAAAAAAATAAATTCACTTGTTTCACTTATATCAAATGTGCAGCTTACTTGGCTCTTACAAAACTCGCCAAAAAGTCATAACGACTTTAAGCCTTTAACTGCCAATAAAAACTGTTAAAGGCCAATCCTCCGCTAACGTCAGACATCATTGTCCGACACGACCATCCAATGTGTTAAATTTCGATTAAAATTTTATTTCTAACGGCTTACCTGGGTAAATAGCCTGCACCCGATCTTTAAAGGAGTCTACCAAGGAGTTGGCGACGTTAGCCACGCTGGTGACCCCTGAGGCCAAGCTGGAGACGAACCCTCGGTCGTTGTCCAGGGAACCAATATCACGAGCTCCTGCCATCAGTTGGCTAAGCGGCTTGCTGATGCCGGAGGAGATGGACTTCAGAATCCCACGGCCAAATTGTCCTGAGAAAGAAGATTAGGGATTATTTTAGGTTCAGTTTCTTCTTAAACACTGGACGATTTTAATGTTTCTTTCAAAGAGAAGGAGGATGAATAGTCTTCTTCTTTCTTCTCCAGAAGTCTAGCCTTCCCCTTTTTTATAGGTGTACTAGCGGACCCAACAGACGGTCCTGCATATCAACTTGAATGTATAAACCAAAAGTTCATTCAAATTAGTTCAGCTGTTTAGGATAAATAACCTAAACATCGACTGCAGCGCCATCTGCCGGACTGATTTGTATATCTAAACCATTCCCAGATCCCCTTGAACACACACAAAAAGTTTCATCAAAATTGGTCCAGTCGTTTGAGAGAAGTTCAGTAACATACACACTCACAGAAGAATTATATATATAAAGATATGTTTATGTTTCTGAAATATGTTAATCTCAAGATCGGATCCTATTTTGTAATATGAATGTATTAATGTCATAATGAGCTTAGCTCAACCTTGCGATTGAAGTTGAACCTTGAACCACGTGTTTAGCATCCGCACTAGCAACTACATAGAACAATAAGACAGACAGTATAACCAGCTAAATTATTTACATCTGTAAGATGACTGACTTACATTACAAAACCACATTCTTACATGTATTTGTTAAATACTCGTAAGAGTTCCAACAATAATATACTTCAAGTACGGAAGTAATTTACGGATTTCTATTATGACATAAGTCATACTACAGCTGTAGTACAAAATCCAATTAATATCGACCTTGATACTCATAATGTTATTCACTTTTATCAATATAATCGATTCTAAACTACAAAGTCCTTGATCTTAGCCGATCTGTTGCAACTTCACTAAAAATATCTTCGGAACTAAATGCCATGGAACGAGAATATATTAACAATAAATAATGCATTATTTCCCTTCGCTCCATCAAAATATTTCGACATCTTTACTTATTATAACAAAACTGGTTTTCAAGGGAATATTTTCGTCACTTTTCGGCGCAAAATAGAATGTTGTAACTGTTACACGCTCATTTTAAGTATAAATGCAAGTTTTTGTTCCAATTGTATCGCAATGCACTGTTATCAAAAGCTGAATATCCTTGTAAAAACAATATTCATAAACTTTATAATTGACAATAGAGTAATCATAATACACGCTCCCTTTTTGTAAGGATAGAAAATCAAATGACTTCTCCCACCTTGAGTGCGGTAAGGGGTAGTGCCAGACTCTTGATCACCAAAAACCAACCCGTTCGTACTTCTACCTGATAACCGGACAAGGTTATGTCTGGTCTTGCCCACGACCCCGACGTTATACGTACTGCGAGTGCAATGTACTCTATAAAATACTAGTTAAGTAAAAATTAATTTCAAAATGTCTGCGGTCATTCTACATTTGGAGTCGATACTAAAATTATACACGGAAAAGTTATTACTCTACTCTGAGTGAGCATAGACCACAAGCAATAAATATTTATTGATAATAGTTTTGAAAGTCTGTTTGTAAACTTTATAGACGTAACAAAACTAATTGCTTGACGAATGAGTAGAAATTGCATTAGCATATTGTTGTTAGAAATCTCTTACAGCTTCAAAGAGAATCAAATATTCACACAAACATCTTTGTCCTTTAGAATACAGGTCAGTATTTAGCCATTATATCAACCAGTAGTTTGGTAATCATAGGCAGATTGTCAGCCAACAATAGAATCTAGTTATGCTGCTGACAATGAGACACACCTGATTATAAGCAATCTGTCCACTTAAGATCTTAAAACACATACAGACTATAAATATCCATTTTATGACAAAGATAAATCTTCTAAAGCGCCAACTGAAAAGTGGGACGTACCCACAGATGATACAGATCTTAATACTGTTTGTATACTCAAGTTTCAAGATCAAAGAGATATGAATGATGCAATGGATATCTAACTCGGTGATCAAATGGGTAAGGGAAAACGTACAGACATTGCAAGTATGCCGTAAACACGCCATGAACTTAATGATCATAATTTCACAAAACAAAATTGTAGTAATGTACTTGACGACCAACGACATACCATGCACGAAACAGTGTCAACAACAACCACTTTAACGTAAGTCGCAATTGTTGGAACTAATCTTTCGGCAGTGTGTAGTGTGAGTATACTCTCTGCCTTAAATTGGAATTGAATTTACTTGCCTTTAGTTACAAACATTACTGAAAACTACTTATACTCTAACTATATGAACTCTTTTAATATGATTTTTCTTAAAACTTGATAACTCTTTTTATCCGTTGAAAACTACATATTACGCCAAAGCTCCCCTCAACTTGAGCAACACTTTTTAAATTCCATACAAACTTAAAACGACAGTTCAATTAATTGTAGTACTTACCAATACCACCATTTTCCTCTCGACTCCTAAGCCTCTCTGCCTCTAACATTTCACTCTGCCTCTGCATCCTCTTGAACAGGTCCACTATACCCTTGGGCACCACTCTCTCAGCCACACTCTCCACTACACTCTCCACCACACTACCAGCAAGCCCAAAGATTACCGACAATGCATCAGTCTTCGGCACCGTCGTTGGCACAACGTCCTTAGCATCATAATAATCTTCTGGTACTTCTTCCTGCACTTCTGTATCCAGTTCTGTAAAGATTGGCACGTCTGAATCTTCTTCATCAGAACCGAAGTCCACTCTGCTTAAATTTACTCGTACTGTTGTGTTAGACACGATTACTGTTGAAGTTTCCAAATTTGCTTCAGTAACATTCGTGGCAGGTATGACAGTGCTCAATTCAGTAACGTCAGTAGTAGTATCGTATGTTGGTGTTGTTGTTTCAAAGTCTGCTTGTTTGTTTGTGTATCGCTCTGTGATGGGACTATCAGTAACTGTGGTTGTTTCATCGTCACTGTAATAAGTTGAAGTTTCCGTCTCTGGCGTCGAACTCGGTAATGTTACCGTTTGTTCGATGATTAGTTTGGGTGTCTTCCTCGTGGTAGACAGCGGTATCACCGTTAAATCTGGCTCGATTGTACTCTCAAATATACTTACAAAAGCATTCTCTGTTGTACTTAACAGTTCTAATGGTATGACACTATAATCTGTGGTAGACGTTATGTCTAATTTGGTTTCAGTTCTATTTCTATTATTATCTACTTTCTTATCAAAATCCTTAACTATTGTATATCTATGTGATTCTTTGTTGAAGTTTTCATTGGAGTTCCAAGGGATCATCCCATATTTCTTATTGTACTTGAGTGAGAACTCTTCATCGAAGTCGATGATGCTGTTATCAAGGTTGTCCTCTCCATACTTGGTGGGTGTCTGCGTGGAGACGATGGACTTTGTGTGGGAGAATGCTGGACAGCTCAGCACGAGGAGAGTGCTGATGATGAATTGCCTCATTTTCTTCCTCCCGCGGTGGTACATTCTTGTTTAGCCATCTGTAACAAAACATGATATTTTTAAAATACTAACTAGAAGTAACAAGTACTTATAGGTTCTACAATATAGTGAAAAAAGATGAATGTGAGATTGTCATAGAAATAAAAACAGTATAAGAATTTTGTAAGGATCGCAATAAGCGACTGTGGCTTCAAACTTCGAAGATAGTATTGCTACAAACAAGGCATACGTTTTGCTAATTCTCACTCAACAATAACTTGTAGTTACAATACATAACAGGCCAAATACGTACTAATTGCCTCTGTACTTCCTCAAAAGATCAAAGGTTGTTCGAACACCTTATTCTCATGTTTACCTGTGACCCCTTACACGTGGGGTCATAGACCATTACTTACACTGAAACACGGTAGATATGACAGTTTTTCTCATTATTTATTACCAAACATTTAATTTAAAATTACGTAATTTTCATTACCCAATGGTGAAGGCAATGTGTACCTATATATATGTGAATCCTGCAGTTATTTAACTTTTCGTTTTTTTTTCAATCCTAAGCAAAACGGAGAAAATCTCTTGCCATACATAGGACACATGTCTGCGTCGTTAGCCGAATGATCACAAGGGCAACTGCCGCTCAAAGGGTCTCGGGTTAGATTCCTGGGCCAGGCAAAGTTTTACTGCATTTCTCAAAAATTCTCAGTAGTAGCACGGAGTCTAGAATTGTGCCCGGTATATGGCAATAGGCTCACCCTCTATTACATGAGACTCATAACATAAATAGTGAAATGAGGGTGTTACATTGTACAGTGGCATTAAGTGACGTAGATAATGTGCACCTCTGCCTACCTTTTTTTATGGAATAGGAAGCAAACAAGCAGACGGATCACCTGATGGTAAGCGATCAGCGCCTTACCTTCGGGATAAAGGCGTGATGTTATGGTATGTTACATAGGACACATTATTAGAATAATGTAAAACTGAATGATTTTCTTAATTTTGTACCGAATTCAGTAGAAAATGACACCCATGCACACGAGTGTGACATTAGAAGCTCATTGCAGTTTATCAAACAATAATATAAAAAAGATATATGTACAGTGTACCTCTATAGTAATACATATTTTGTATAATATGTATCAGTGTGTGTATTGTCTGACGTTATGTAACAGTCGCGGCTGATGCGCACGCGCCTTACGACAACATCGTGGTGGTAAATAAAAAGTAGAGATACAATAAATGTGATACTCGCTTTTCATCAGTGTGAATCACAAAGTTAGTATGGCTCTTAATTGCCTAACAATAAATGCAATTTGATTTTAACATAACATTACGGCTTTTTACCCCCGAAAACCCGGGGTAGTCAAAAGTGCACATTACGGCACTTAATGTTACTGTACAATGTAACACCCACTTTTCACTATTTATGTTATGAGTCCCATGTAATACGGGATGAGCCATATACCGGGCATAATTCCAGGCTCCTAGGGAGTGAGCCTACTGCCATATACCGGGCATATTTCCAAGCTATTACTGAGATTTTTTTTTAAAACATAGTAATACCTTTTTGCCTGGGAATCGAACCCGAGACCCCCTTGATTTCATTAGAAAAATATTTTGAAATGTAAATGATTCGTTGCTACAATTAGCACTATATACTTTTAATAATATTTTTATTTATGTAACCTTATAAATACGACTATATTAATTTAATACGTATTAACCTTCTTTCATTCGAATTAAAAATAAACTTATAATAATATAGGAAGAAATAAATATTTATCGTGAGGATATCATTGTTGTTCCTGTATAATAAATGTTACAGTTATAAACGGAATATAGTGTGCAGGACAATTGTTGCTCCGAGCTTGATATTGACATTCCACAAATTAACAGCAGACATAAATAAGTGATCTTTAATACAAAATAATGTATGTCGTGGTGGCCCGGACAAAACGCCCGCTTCTTATGCATGAGAGTGTGGGCTCAAAACCTACCAACGGCTAGTACCAATGTGACATTTTCCGAGTTATAATTATGTACTTTCTAAGATTGTTTAGACACCACTGACAAACGGTAAAGGAAAACATCGTGAGGAAACCTGGGCTTATAATTTCTAATTTTAAGTTTGATATCGCCAACCCCCATTGAGCAAGCGTGGTGATTAATGCTCAAACCTTCTCCGTGTGAGAAGAGGCTTTGCTCAGCAGTGGTCACTTATAGGCTGTTGATGAATACAAAATAATAAGATCTATCAAATTTTTTGATAGATACACACCATTAAATCAACAAAACAATGTAACTAAAGAATTGTATTGTGAACCTGATTGAAAAAGAGTAACCTATGGAGTTTCTTGCTCGTTCTTCTCCATAGGAATTTACACCTTGGAATAAGCTTCACTTTAAAATTTATTGTTGACGTATATCTCGCCTGGTGGTAAGCGATGATGCGGTCTACGACAGAGCACGTCATCCCTTAAGCAACCTATTCACTTGGGCCTTGAAGATACCCAGGTTATACCCTTTAAGAAATACAGACTCTGGCAAAGAATTCCACTCCTTAGCAGTACGCACAAGGAGGCTTGAAGCGAAGCGCTTTGGAGTCATTGAAATAAATGATTTTGGCTTTGATTTTGACTTTGATCTAAATCCACACATTTCGGGTTGAGATCAATTTCGGCACTTAGTGAAAACATATGTCAAGCCCCTACACAGGCTTTTTTATTAAATAGATAGACGTGCGTGGGAGAGCTATGCTTCGGCACGAATGGGCCCGCTCGACCGGAGTGATACCACGGCCTCACAGAAAACCGACGTGAAGCAACGCTTGCGTTGTGTTTCGTCATATGAGTGAGGTTACCGCTTACCGGAGGCCCAATTACCCTCCCCTTTCCCAATCTCCCCAATTCCTGAATCCCCAACGATCCTAAAACTCCTAATCCCCAAAAGGCCGGTAACGCACTTGTAACGCCTCTGGTGTTCCAGGTGTCCATGGGCGACGACGATTGCTTACCATCAGGTGATCCGTCTGCTCGTTTACCGGCTTATGCCATAAAAAAGACTTTGTTTATTTTCAGCGAATAAAGTTTAGTTATAATTCATCTACGGGACAGTTGCTATGACAACTAAGGTAACATTAGCAAATTACGTCAAAATTTTTGCAACTATGAGCTGCAGGAGTCTACTGCAATATAATATACATAATACAATGTCACAATTATACGCTATATGATAATGAACTTTATTGTAATACACATAACGGTGTCAATTGGTCAAACTAGCGCTAATGTGAAGAATATTTGCAGTGTTTGTGAATTAAAGATTGCTAATTTAATTGTGCATTCGATTTAATATTGTTGTAAGATTTACGTAAAAATGTGTCATAAGTAGAGACGTTGCAAGTGTAGCTATCGACTGTTATTCAGTTTCAATATTTATTTTCATTGTAAAGATTTATATAAAAGTCAAAGTATTAATTTCAATTAAACCATAATTTGGTACTTTTGAAACGTCAACAAATACAAAATAAATAATAGTCTATCAGTCAGTCCGTCAGTGAAGCTAGGTGCTCATTCCAAAATGGAGAAGAACGAGAAAGAAACTCCATGAAAGATTATGAAAAGTTAACTTAGGCATACCTACTTGTTTACAATTACAATTACTTACAGACTTGTGTGTCCTCAATCTCCTATTTTTTGAGTTTTAAGATAAGTATACGTAATACGACTGCACGGTTGGTGCGGAGGCTGGGCAAATGGTTGCGTGGATAGCGGCTTTAATTCCCACACGGAGCAACTCTTTGTGTGAGGCACAAATTGTTGTTCCGGGTCTGGGTGTCATGCGAAATTGTATGTTTGTAAACGCACCCATGACATTGGAGAAAATCCTAATGTAGGGCAACGTTTTTTATACATAAAAAATTAATAGAAAGCATAACAAACTGTCAGTAGGTACCAGTTATTAGAGAAATATACCTAACGTATATGTATAAGCATAATCCTTACTTAATAATATTATAAATCGGAAAGTGAGTTTGTTTGTTTGTTTGTTTGTTCCACTTTCACGCCGTAACTACTAAACCGATTGCTTTGAAATTTTGCAGACGTAAAGTTAGAAGTCCGGATTAAATAATAGGGTACTTTTTATCCAGGAAAAATTTGATATTCCCGAGGGAAAACAAAAGTATTGGTATAGATGGCGCTGTGTGTATTGGTATATGTCACATTGGCTTTTTACCCTTTTGTGACGCGAGCGAAGCTGCGGGTAAAAGATAGTAATGTATATGTACAATACTGCCTATACAATATACAGATACAGATACAGTGGGCCCTTCACTTTACCGTTCACAAATGTACCAAAGAATATTCCTAATACTCACAGTAAGGACAAATTAGAATATTAACAATATTATGTTGCCTTGATGCGTAATTTATGCTTTGTAAGTTAATTCGATATACAGTCAGTTTACCTGCAGTCCCTACCTATATATTTATTGATCGCTTACCGTACCTTTAAATTATATCCTTTTGTTTGTTTGTCCCTATTCCAAAAATAATAAGCCCTAAGGTAGTTATAGCATTTCTAACGTGACTAGACATCCCGTTTTGAACAAGACTGTCCCTTTTTATAATTAGGTACGTGGCCCGCTGTCCCCAAAATGAACTCTGGGACGCAAAATTGTCCAGTTTTTTGAAACCACGAGTAATTTTGAATAGTTCAACCTACGTGACGACCGTTCGAAGGAAGGCTCGAGTGGTGTGCGAGAGCTATACAGCATCATACATACAACTCGGAAATTTTAAACAAAGTACAGTCGAAAATATTGAAATAAGTATGTACATACATTTTTGTGCAGTTAGTAATATTAACCTTTTTGTTGTGGGCACAAAGTTTGTGTTTGTAAAAATTCTATAATAAGATTTAGCTACCAGATGACTGACTGAATCTAAATAAACGAATCTCCCGAGCGAGTAAAAAATAAATAGTTTTTTTCTGATGGTAAGCAATCGGCGTCACCCATGGCCACC